TGAACGTGAACACAATCATCCACGATTTACTATGGACTCAGCAGACCCCGGAAGACTATCTCCAGTCCCTAAAAACTAAATAAGTCTGCAAATATTTGGTCTTATCTCCATATTCTTCTCCCATTCTGTATGTTTATGTCTGAGGTTATGCAGACGTGCACGTGCCGGTGCGTGCACATTCTTTGTAAGAGCTGCTTGTTGAGACGGTGAATTAAACAGCAAGTGCATTTGATCTGCAAAGCACCCCTGGGCAAATACGCACAAAACGAGAGGAACACGCACACACGCAAAGAGGCTTGCATAGAGCATCAAAATCATTTCCGTCACACAAGCTATTCTTAGGAGCAGAAACAAACCATTCTTTCCCTGATATAAATCTCTTTTATTCATACCCCCTCAGCCACGCACACACACACACACGCACACACACTTAGCTCAAAGCTACACTCCCCGGTGGTCATAATGCATTCACATAATGTTCTTTGTTTTCTAGAACAGGATTCGTTCCAGGTAAGTCACAGTAGGGAGACCTTTTGGGGCCTATTTCACTCGCAAACACGCAGGCAATCGCGCTGCAACTTCCATCTGGCGATGGTGGGCGTTCGTGCAGGTGTGTCGGGGTCAGCGGCGTTCAAAGCTCGATTCCCCATCTCTCCCCCTCCTAGTCGCACAAACAACATGATCTGCGAGAAGCTAAAGCCGCACAGCTGCATCAACTCAGCAGTCTTCCACTCCATCTTTAAAAAGGAGTCTCCTCACTTTTTTCTCTGCTGTTTTTTTGCTCTTTTGTTCTTGCCAGACTCTTCCTCTCCTTTTCTTCTCATTTCCTGGCTTTATTCAATCTTGCATTAGCCACCAGTTACATGTATATGTCGGCCAGCTCTGTAGCTTTTGCCAAAAGGCTTCAGATCTCACCCCTTCAATCCCCTTCCGTCTCCTCACACCATCACTCTCCTCTTTGGCCGCCCCGGCCTCCCTCCCAACCACCGCGCTCTTCCTGCCCTTCACTGCCCTCCCGGCAGTCCCGCCCGAGCATGTGCTACCCCGGGGGACAAAAGCCTCATCCGCCCAACAATGCACTCTGACCGACCAGTTACCTCCAGCCCTGTCAGCACGGGGCAGGAAGAGCCCGGAGGCCCCCAGGGGAAGCAGGAGCCTCCACTTCCCCCAGTCTGTCTGCCTGGGTGTGTATTTATACGAGTGTGTGTGTGTGTGTGTGTGCGTGCACGTGCCCAGCATGCATTTCTAAAAAAAAAACACTAAAAAAAACCTGACTGACCAGAAGCCAGAAGATCGGATGTTATCGTTTACCGCAGGAGGGAGAGGAATGATACAATTTCCAATTTCCTGTGATTATTTACAAATGTAACCTCCTCTGCAGACTGTTTTCACCTGGCTAAACACGATAACGATGCTCTCTACGACCACAGAAATACATTTCCCAGTCGGGTATTTTTAACACTCCTTCTCATTTAAACTAAAATATGTTCATAATATTCTTTAGGACAGTTTAGTGGAAATTGAAGGTGTTGATTCTTTGTCAGTGTATTTCTAATATATAGTAAGGGAGCTATCATTTTTTATCTGCATCGATGTGTTGGGTAATGAGGTACGGTTTAGTTCCAGAGAACACTGGTAGAGTGATATTTGACACTGCTGCTTCCCGGCAATCAGCCCAAAACAAACTCCTTAAAATGCAGCAAAGCGAGAGATGACAGCACATTAGAGTAGACATAATATCTTACAACAAAGCGCCTTCCAACGGCACTGTAGCCTGTGACACTGAAAAGTATCTAATCCAACTTCCACAGTCGGGAGTCACACAATAAACGGGTCTTTTTTTGACTCGCATATCATCAAAAAGACCGATTGTATGACAAACTGGCTAAGACAGTTTGAAATGAAAAACTCCACACAGTAAAAAAATAAATACGTTGACTCCATTTAAATATAACAAGTGTTAAAGTGAGCAAAATGAATAGGTGGATGGTTAATGGTGTATGGAATACTGCCGTCAGAGATTATTAGGACCAGACTGTGCATGATGAGAACAGTGACACAATGTTCATGTTTAGACTTTGTACAATGAGGTTTAAGTACTGACATCAATCCTTAGAGGGAGTTTATAGCAGCACCACACAAACGATGAAGGTGTTGTAGTAATTCTCAGCCACGCTGGTCGGCCCACCACTTTGATCCAGACAGAAATAGCTCAACAAAGACTGGACGGATTCCCTAGGATCCTTGTAGTCGTTCATCTGATTAAGCCTGTTCCATGTTATATACACACACACACACACCAATATTCTTATTTGTGTTAAAGCTTTGTTGTGACATTGAAATTCAGTTAATTTATGTTTTCATTTTGTTTTTACAACTTTATCCAATTAAAGCTGTCTGAGGGTGGAAGGTGGAAGGTGAACGACATGTTGGTAGATGTGGTATGCACCTTAACCCCGTGTAATCATTTTGCTGACCCGACACTTTTCATCAACATCTTCAGATTCCGATTAGTAACGGTTTTGTTTCTGGTCGTAAACCACATTCGTGCTGCTTTGCTTTAGTGCAAAGTTTAGTGGATGAGGACTCTTGTAATACAGTACATGAAAGAAAGCGTCGGAAAAGTTAAAAGGCTTTGAAATGGTTGTGTAAACACACCGATATCACCAGACACTTGTTATCTCGCCTTGTGGCGTGCTGTCAAGCTTGAACTATTGGAGCCTCCTTCAGTAAAGTAAACACAGGCATGTAGTCGGGTCACATGGCTGACTTGAACATTCCACAGTTGGGCCATAAAACTCCTTAATGATCTTGTTTTCATTCTTGGCATCATTGTTCTAAAACTGGAGGAGAAAGCACAACAATCAGAGCTCTGAGGAAAAGCCAATTTGCCGATGTAAAGAGACTAGATGATGAGAAACATATCGCTAGCGGTTAAAGATTAGCCACTGAAAAGTTAAGAGTTTGATACAAATATTCCGACAAGACGCGTCAGCTGGAGATTTGATGATTCACCACAGGCAAGAAAAAGAAGAGCCATCCGCTTTTAAAGCCAAGAAAAATATGCAGGGACAAACTTAAATAATTGAGGTCAGAGACTTGCTTTAATCCCTGTGAAGGCCCAGTTCACCGCATCAATCACTCAGAAACCCATTCATCACTCACTCTGGGATTTATTAGTTAGGTCTGGAGCCGGGGGGGGGTAAGAGGTTAAATGAGGAGCATTGTGCTCGCGGCTATCGGCAGAGAGAGCACCAAGTGAGTCTGTCTGCTAATCCACACACGCACACCTTTAATCAACAGTGTGGCTGCCAGAGCTAAATATAGACCCATGTAGACAAACATGCATGTACAAAACCATCAACACACACACACAAAAGTATCATACTTTTAATTTTGTCAACACTGTCCCACTGAACACCCAAACACATGAACAACATGAGCAAAAGCACACACTCACACATTCCTAGGCCGATACACAGACGTGTGCACACAACTTTGCATTAGCGGTGCCACAGCTAGCCGGATTGCCCGGGGGCCCCTCACCATGTCTCATCACTGAGATAATGTTGAGCACAGCGGTGGAGCTTGGCCTAGCTGCTGTCACTTTGGCTTTGCATTCAGGTTATGCGCTCAGAGCTCGTATAGGCCTGGTTGGGCGTTGTGGCGTCACCCATTTGACAAGAGACGCGTACCTTTTCAGGGACAAACACAGACCAACGTGCGAGTGTTGCACAGGCTCTTAATACTAGCCGCAGCTGAGCTTTTACGTTCAGCCACAAAAACGAAAAGGAGCCGGACCGTGCGTGTGCGTGTGTGTGTGGAGTGCATGTAAGTGCTCTCTATCTCGCTCGCCTCAAATCCAAAGCAATTAGAGAGGCCAGATGGTGGGCTGGACTCACAGCAAATAGCTGTGCATTGACAGAAGACGCCTGCAACAAAAATGAACAGTGACAAGGAGCCAGGATGACACACAGATACACGGAGGCATCAAAGCACCAGGCACCCACCGAGGATGCGCCGCCATGACCGCAATAGACCAACTGTCAGTTGTGGGGATGTTAACAGCACGACTTGATTGTATTGTTTGATGGCAAAACAGAGGGTACTTGTGTGTGAAACAAAATACGGCAGATGCACATACACGCATGAAAGCACACATTCATTCCCATGCCGGAACAGTCATACACAAACCTTTATTACACACACAACACACTCTCTCTCTCTTTACGTGTCAGTCTGTTAAAATTTGACCAAACCAGTTTGGTTTAGTCAGAGTTCAAACAATGCAGCCTTTGAGAGGAGCTCCATTCACCGAGTTTCGGCCTGGCCTGCACATTCCCCAACTGGAAACACAAGCTGCCTCCCACTGGGCATACAGTACCGCATTCCTCACATCGACCCTTTTCTGTGTCTAGGTGTGCGTGTGTGTATGCGTGTGTGCCTGAGAGGTGTTGGGGCTTCACTGAATATGACTATGTAGTTTATGCATATGGAAATTCTACCTTTCTTCCACCACTCTTCATAATCCACATTCCCAGCTACGAAATGTACCCTTTAAACAAATACCGCAGTCTACTGTATACTGGTTACCAAGGTAGCCAGTTGGCTTCACCCAACTAGAGAAATGTAAAGCAGTCTGGAGGGGAGGGGGAGCTTGAGCACAGGACGTTTGCAATGCCCCAATGCCTATTCCTGTACTCAGTTTCATAAGCTTGTTATCACACCTATTGACACACACAAAGATGTATAAAAACTGAGACAAGCAGTGAGAGTGAGGAAAAAAAACAAACCCACATAGAGCGGGTGGGTGAGTGGGGGGCTCTGGAGAGTGAAGGATGGGTGACAAAAGACGAGAGGGCACTTCATATCGTGATCAATAAATCTATAAATCTAATCAGTGAAAATCTATGACTTGATCTGTATCCTCAATCATCACCAAGCCAACCACCAAGTGTTGAGAGTAAGAGGGAAGAAGAGAAACCAATGTAACACACAGCAACATTTAAAAAATCAAGAAATCTTTAATAGCAACCAAATGCAAAAGAAAGATATAGAAAGACAACAAAATGGTGACTATTCTAATTCAGTTTTTTTCAAGCAGCAAAATAAATTACAGCAAAAAAAATATTCAAAAACCATAAGTAACATTTACACAGAGCAGTCGATAATAAAAGCACATTTGGGATAAGACTGTTTTGTTGTGTGTACAGTTCATTTGTATAGAAGAAGCACATTTGCCAGTTTGGGCAGCAATCACAGCGCAGCAGTCAAGAATAAAGCACTGAGAAAACATGATAAAGCACTGCAAAATAACAGAAAACACAGGAAACGTCTTTTAAAAAAAAAAAAGAGTAAAATAAATCCTTCATGCTTGCGGTCACGGAGAAATACACAAACGTGACACCGTAAATTGGTAATATTTTTCTCTGCTACATATTTATATATTTATACTATGTACACAAGGAAGTTGTTTTTTTTTCTTTTATGCAAGTGAGATGGGAGATGTTAAGGCTTTCATTAGTCATCAATTGTTTAGAGCGGAACATATTGCAGCGGAATAGGACTTTGCGTGTGGGAAACATGTGTACTTTAACTGCCTCACCTTGGGCAAGATACGGGCCAGGATTGTGGATTTCTCTAAAAGCCTTTGGTACTGACAAGTCTAACTTGGGTGTGTGAGTGAGGAGGCGGTCGCAGAGGTGGCCGAAGTTAAAGAGCAAGAAAACGACATTTAAGACAGGAGGAAAGTTGTGCGACTCTAAAAGCCTTTGATGTGATCCGGGAGGGGGGGGGGGGGGGGGGGCAGGTCAGCGTGGTGACATTTTTATGAAAGCAATTTTCCCCTGTGAAACAAAAAGGGGAGCCGACAATCCCTAAAAGCATTCTCTGACACCGGGTGAAAGGTGTGCCCCTGAATGGGTGTTTGTCGCTGTTTCCGCTTGGTCATTCAGGTGATTCCCGATCAGGCCGGACTATTTGGAGGAATACAAACGCAGTGGAGCGGGGGGGGACACATCACGCTGCAGCTCTTTCCACTGTAAGAGGACTCTGTAAATGTCCTGACAGAGCCACTGAGCAGGAAGAGGAGAAAGAACTGTGTGTGTGTGTGTGTGTGTGTGTGTGTGTGTGTGTGTGTGTGTGTGTGTGTGTAGCTATGCGAGCACATTTGTGTGGGCTCGTGTCAGGAGAAGGCAGACTTGTCAGGTATGACGCGTCTTCTGGACAGTTTGGCCGTGAGAGTGAGCATAATGAGAGTGACTGAGGGGTGTTTGTGTGTGGGCGAATGTTTCTCGGCATTCTGCGTATATAGGAGCGTGTCTTCAAACTGCACAGTAATATCTCCAGGTGGCCAGTTTTTCCGTGGTGACAAAGGGAGGCTACTCGGGTTACAGCCCCAATGGCAGGGCGAGAGATATCCCAAAGCCTCCGAGCATCATGAAAACACACTGCTCTATATACACAAACACACACCGCTGACTCAACACAGACCTGTGTGGTTATGGTCCACCCAAGTGTTGTGGGTACTTTCGCATTGTGCTGCATGCCTGTCGTGACAATGAGAGAAGCCAATTGTGCAAAAAAAAAAAAAAACTGCTTATTATGTGAAAATGCAGGCAATGCGAACAAATCACTATACAGGCATATATGTTTTTTTTTTTTCCACCAATACAAATTGACCGTTTCGGCAAACTCAGCTCGGTCGGTCTAACAAGTTAACATATAAACCACCGAGGTAATCGCTAGATTAAAAATTACATTCTGACTGCCATCTGAGACATTTGAACTTTCGGCCTAAAAGACTGACGACTCCTTCCTGTGTACTTCCACAACACCGGCTCCATCCATCTGATATTTACATTGTCATAAATATCCACATTTTCACAAGAAAAATAAAGATGCTTACATATATAGTACACGATACCTCACACCAAGATGTACATACAACAGCTTTGTTGCTATTTTTACCCATAAAAGTATTTTATAGGATTCATATTTATCTTCGTTGCAGTGACACACATTAGTGCAAAAATAAGTCAATGCATTCTTTTTTCCTTTAGAGTGGTTGTGAAAAATCATCTGTGTTTAGTAAATTGACTGCACCCCAGGTTGACAGGAGTTGCATTTATGTAAACGCTAAGGCCATTAAGACAATAATCCTATTGAACACACTGGCTTTCAATATGCTAGACAGAGCTCAAACACTGAACGCCTCCTCTCTGACAGTCAGAGAGCTCTTCTCCCCCGATTCCAGTGGGTCAAGGGGTTAGTTGATTGGAAGGCAGGGAGAAGCCTGATTAAAAAAGAGCTGCACTGGGACTTTTCTCTCAGATTGTCCATCACAAGCCTCCAGTGCCTAAATAAATACAGTAATGCACCCCAATATAAAGACTCCGCCTTAAAGACCGCAGCGTGCAGTAACCACGCAGTAATCTCAGTCTGAGCGGGCCTCCGGTGGCTTGTTAGAGGGATAAATAACAATCAGGAGACCATCAGCCTTGACGCTGCAACGTGGAAAGGGCCTTCTTTGTCCATTCGACTCCTGGCGCTTCGCCGCGGACGCAACCTTTGCGTGTCCTCCCACACTTACTATGGTGTGGGAGGAGACGGTGGCATCCATGCGGGGGGCGGGGGGGGCAGGGCTCACATTGGTCACTCCAGGTGGATTAGTAAGTCCTAGCATGTCAGAGAAGGCGAGGATGGAATAGAGTAGGTAGAGCTTTTGACACATCGGGAGCAGTAAAACACCACAATTCTCCCTGTGGCCCTGACCCCGACACTACCCGATAAATCATGAACTCCCCATAAACCCTCGGAGAGAGGGAGAGAGAGACTGAGGAATGAACGATAGAGAAACAGGAGGTGGGAGGGGGAGCAATCGCCACGTCATAAATGATAAGTGGTGGCAATCTGTTGGTCCCAGCTAAGCGAGCGACTTCACGGCTCATTACCAATCAAGCTCCTCCTGTCGTGAGCGCTCTGAAGAGACGAGGATGAGGAGGAAGAGAAAAGAACAGACAAGCGCGTCTTTCTAGTCCTCCTGCATCCCGCTCTCCCTCCCCCTGACCCAGTCAGATCGATTACTCCTCACTCCCTCACCCGCTTACCATCTCTTACCTCCAGGCACGGGGCAAAAGTTTTGCATGTGAATACCTTGATGAGAGCTTTGCTCAAACTTTGTGGCAGTCAACTTTGTTTAATTGAGGTGCTCTTGTTTTTTGCAGCACATCAGAACCTAATGTTCCTTTTAAATGTTGTTAAGTCGAGCGCGTCTGCTGTTGCCTGCTGATAGTTTGCGGAGAGGTTTGAGGGGAAGGCAGAGAGAGTGGAAAATAAGACGAGAACAAATATTTTGTTCTTTTTAAAATCACCTGATGGCTACAGTCCATACCTTTGAAACCTCCCGCCAATCCTAGCTACTAAAAACACACGAGCTGTGACAGCTCAATGCATTACCAAATCAAAACAGGTGTCCCACAGGAGGTTGCAGGCAACTGCTTGACAACCCCTTCCTCTTCCACGGTTTAGGTGAAGATGAGAGTGAATATGCAAGAGAGTTGCCGCCTTTAAAGCCAAGCCTGTATCGTGATTCCATTATTCTACTCCCACACAACGCACTTTCTCGGTTTTAGTCTGTCGAGTGTCCTTGTCAAGATCCCAGTGATGGCACGAGCAGAAGAAGTGTGACAAAAGTTGTTACTTTTCGGGGTTTGATTTTCAGTTCGTAGGGACCCGTTACAGCGACACGGCTTTCAGAGCGTCCCTCCAAACTCTCCTGTTCATTCAGTTCATTCTGGGGCTGCACTGTGATTGATAATAGGCCATGTTTCAAACCAATTTAAAAAAATGAAAAGTGGTATTAATTTCGCTTTATCAGACAGCCACAAAATCTTCGTGAGGAATCCTCCATCCCTCCTTTTTTCTTTTCCTCCTCCCCCTCCTCCTCTCCATCTTCCTCCTCCTCCTCCTTTCCTCCTCTCCTATACGTAAACAGCAGTCCGTGAGATGACCGAGCCGTCGCGCTGAGACTCCATGTCGTCATCCATGTATTCTCCAATCATGTCGTCCTGGTCGTGTGGGCGGAGCTGAAGGATGGGGGCCCCTCCGGTGAAGTGGTCATACCTCTCCTCCGCCTCGAGCTCATCGAACTTCCTCCTTTCCACGTCATCCAGCTCGTTGCTAAGCAGGATGTCCTCCGCGGTGGGTGCAGTGGGAACAATTTCGGGCCGGCCCCCGACGGTGAGCGGCTGGTGGTGGTTGTTTTTCTCTCCGAGGCCCTGGTGGGACGAGCTCTCGTTGTAACCGTACATGGGGCCGTTGTTGTTGCCGCCGCTGCCTGCGCCCCCACTCGTGCCGTTCTTGCTGGCCTTCTTGCCGCCGCCAAACATGCGCGTCTTCATGTCGCTGCCACCGTTGGCGCGGTAACCCTGCTGTTGTCTGCGGCTACGGGTGACAAGCACGGCGATGAGAGCGGCGACCAAAAGGAGGGCCAGCAGGGAGCCGATCACGGCGCCTGCCACCACGCCGGCATTGGATGGGTTCACTGAGGGCTCTGTAGGAGGGAGGAGAGGCAGGGAGGGAGAAAAAGGAAGAAAGGAATATGGGTTGAGAAAAGCGAAAAAAATAAATAAAGAACAGTGTGAAACACGGTGAGAGAGCAAGAGGGAAAATGGAGACAGCATAAAGAGGAGAAGGGATAAAGGGTGTCAAGGAAAAAAGGAGAAAAGTTAAGAGTTTGGAGGATGTCAGTGGGTGCTGGGCTGAATTGTGTTCAGTGAAGTGGTGTAGAGTGCTGAGGTGTCAGTACATTCAAAAGTGTGTGTGTGTGTGTGTGTGTGTGTGCTGAGCCTCTCCTTACGTTGACATTTCTTCTTCTCCTTTTAGTGTTGCTCCTGTCCCAATTCCCACAGCCACGCCATGGCAGCAACACAGCCACGTCCACCGCGTTGCCCTTCAACAGCCAGGGTTCATCCAAGGCTCACAACCGATCACATGGCAAGGCAGGGGAGAGAGGGGGGGGGGGGGGGAAGCCACATGCACTTTCTGAAGGAGTGGCAAAACAGGTGGAGGCCATGCAGTGGAGGAGGATAATGATGGATTGAGGAGTGGATGTTGGAAATTTGAAGGAGGAGGCAGCAGAGTGAGTAAGTGACTGGGATGACTAGTCTTCCTGAAAGCCATGAGCATTGAGCAGGGGAGGGGAGACGGGGGGGGGGACCCCTCTCTGAGCGAGTGTGCGTCATTTTTATTAGCTCTGTTTGTTTAGTCACGACAGCCATGGTGCACACTCGCCTTCACAACAGGAGCAATTTCACGTTCATTTTGAAACCAAACAGAGGCTTTTACAGAAGGTAGATTGAAGAGGACGGTACAAGTAAAACTAGGCTCTACGGTCCTACGCTCAGTACTTCCGTTTGTGTATCAAACCTCCAGGGAGAGGCACAGTAGTTGTGTCTTGATCAGGGTTGTGGAGACATCCCACATGACTTGATAGCCATATCGTACTTCTTCTCTAAGCTCACACTTTCCACTCCCGGGGCTTCCCTCTGCAGCGATACTAGTACAATAGGGGTGTAACGATTCATCCACTGAATCGATTATTCGATTTATATTCCTGCGATCCAACTGAATCGATCTGTGCTCCGCAAATCGGCATTCCGGACGACATATATCGATAGATTGAAATGGTACATAATCGATTGTATCGATACTTGGAAACTGCACATTGGATTTAAGTACAAAAACTGTATGGATGTGTGTTTGTTTGTTTTTTAGCACTTTAGACACGTTAAACATTACTCGATTCAGTCTGCCTGTCTGTGACGTCATCAGTATGAAACTCGGAACATCAACAAAACACAGCGTGGAGGAGACGACTGAGACATTTACAAACCAACTTATTGATCCAGCGTGTGGAAACATTTTGGCTTTTGCAAACAAGGAGGTGTTCTAAATAAGTCGGTCGCTGTTTGTAGAATATGTAGAAGCCAAATAAAAAACCACGGAAACACGACGAATCTTTCCGGCCATCTACTATGGCGCCGTGGGATGAAACAACGCCGGCAGTGAGGCTCCTCTAGCAGCGTCACCGCTGCAGCAGCAGCAGGTAACTCCAGCTCTGCAGACACCTCAGGCCTCGCCAGCACCAAACTCAACATCACAGTAACAATTGCCAAGTTTATCTGTAAAGACATGCGACCCTACAATGTGGTTGGAAATCCGGGGTTCTGTGAATTGATCCAAACATTGTGTAATTATGGTATAATGTTTACATAGAAAATGGCACTTGATTCAAATAAAAGGTTAATACATTTGCCATTAATTGTTGTTTAACCCAGATCGTCAGTGAATCGAATCGGCAACCATGAATCGCGATTCGAATCGAATCGTTGTTAAAATGAATCGTTACACCCCTACTTGGTATAGTTTCAAATGTCACAATAACATACAAATACTGTTTGCACATGGTTGCCTGTTTTAGGGAACGTTTCTCTGAAACCAGAATCAGCCTATTTCAGAATAAAAAAAGACAATTAAAATAGACAAAATTATGTAGTATCTGATAAAAATAAACTAACCAACTTTCTGTACATGCAGAAGACACATTTCAGTTATTTTATCAAAAAGTATGGAGGTTTGATACCAGCCTACGTTAGACACGACTGGCGAGTAAACCCTCGGAGAACCATGACGGTGTTGCTGCATTGCAAAGGCTTTTCTTTTAGGGGGCCGGGAGTTCAGGCCTCTGAGTGCTTTCTGAGAATATGACGACTCCCCACAGACCCTGCGACGGATCCCCCATGTGGTCCTCATCCATAACTCAGTGGACATGGAGTACGGCGCCAACGCTGCGGGAGATAAGGGTCAGCTCCAATCATGCTGTACGGATCCACTGTAGCACTTTCTACAAAGATGTTCTCTAAATCACAGCCAACAATATACGTACAAGAACAACTTGTATAGGAAGGAGAAGTACTGCTTGTACATTATTCCAAAAACTGTTTTTGAATCATCGTGCCTCCCGTCAGAATTGTAAAACCTACTTTTCTTACAAGGGAATATTGATCCCTGAAAGTATATAATTCCTACTTTCAAACCATTGAAGTTTAGAGCGTAGATTCTTTTAGAACGAGTACACGCATTTTACAATTTGTATTTTACTCGTCTATTCTGATTGGATCATTTTCAAGGTTCCAGAGGCAATAAGCAAACTGAATTAATTGTACTGCACATGGAGAAACCTTACGTTATGGAATGAAGTTTGCTTTTAATCATCCATCCATATTTAAGTGATCCTGCTTCCTTCAGGTTTTAAGCACATGAAGTGCACAATAAAATCAAAAACTCTTGGCTAAGCTGAACATCCTGTCTGTTGCTCTGGCTTTCCTTTCCACTCATTGCACTTCACCAGCCGCTGTAGAGGATTAAACAGCAGACGCCGTGGTTGAAATCCCTGCCTGAATTTAGTAGTGAATCAGCCAGGTTCTTATTGTCATTACCAATTGAAATCCATCAGAAGCCGGCTCCTCTTGTTAAGTGCACAGAGTTGACGGAATTACTCTTGTAACACAGATTCTTGTCAAGGGAAGAAGTGCTTTGCACCGCTCTCCTCGTCCTCTTTTCCGGTCTCTGCCTCCACTCCACTAGTCCTTTCTCCATCTCTGCCTCCACTCCACTAGTCCTTTCTCCATCTCTGCCTCCACTCCACTAGTCCTTTCTCCATCTCTGCCTCCACTCCACCAGCTGTCTCCTGCATATTCCCCGGGTCCACTGGATCTATTTTCACTGCAGTCCTGCCACTTAAACGCATGTATTTCTGTTGCACGCTATGGTTTTCCTCTGCGTAAATAAAAATTGGTAATATTTGGCTAGATTTTTTCAATTTCTTCCACCGGCCTCTCCCCAAGCACACCATCCTCCCCCCACCATCGTATTTCCGCACTAGCACTGCTAAACATTCCTGTTCACAATGACAGTGAGAGCTAGCCCTTAGTGTCCACTTGTAACAGGAACACAAGAAATGCATTATCACCTCAGGCTCAGTGGGGCTCTGGCACACGCAACCTGGCAACAATCTCTGTGCAGACTTGGAGACGGATGCTGCCACACATTGCATTGTCAAAGGGAATTACACTGAAATTGAAATGCAAATTCTCCCTAAATTCCTCTCATCCAATTATTTTGAAAGCGTCAATAAAGTAATTTAAGGGTCGCTGTCAAAGTCTATGCTGCTGATTTTAAATCCTTTGGTGGGTGATAATTCATATGTTATTCTACCATTCCGGTGACAACGTTTAAAAGATGCAAGAGATGGATGTAAAAGAAACCGCCCCAGGCTCCCAGTACAGGCCCACTACAGACCCAGATGTCTAACAAAGCACCAGAGAAATGTATTTCAGTGGGTGAGGAGAGGACATCTTCTAAACACATGCTGCTGGATGAAAAAATGCAATATGCATGATGTGTGGATAACGGGGGGGAACAAACATCCAGAACTACAGTTTCCACCCCTTCCCCACACAAAACATACTGGGGAAGCCAAAAAAACAAATGCTTCTTATGAAGTCATGTCCAGCACAACCGTAAGCTCCAAGTGACCACGAGTAATGAGAGAGATGGAGCGGAAGTAACGTCTACTGCAGCCTCGAAAAACACGCATGGTTACACACACACACACACACACACACACACACACACACACACACACACACACACACACACACACACACACACACACACACACACACACACACACACACACACACACACACACCAGTGGCCTGACGCTGGGCTGCACTTATGGCATAGCTTAGAAGTATTCTGTCAGCATGTTAACTTATTGAAGAGAGCTGTGTGTGCGTGAATGTGTGCTAATGAGCGTGGGGCCAGTAGCTGGCTGGAGGGAGACTTGGCTCCATCAGACCTGTTCCCTGGCTTTTTTCGCATGGCCGGAGACGCTCGCTGACCGACAGACAGATATACACACACACACACACACACACACACACACACACACACACACACACAAACCCAAGGGAGGAAATGTCAAAACCTTGTGCTCTTGAACTCTTCTTAGACAACTCTGCAAATGGGAAAGAATGCACCATATTGAGAGGAAGCATATTTTCCTTGGGGTTCAGCACCCCATGCAGAACAATGGGAGGTGCGGGGAGGGGGAGTTGGCTACAAAGAAGCCCTGCAAGAGGAGACTGGAATGGTGGGATAGATGCATGGATGAAGAGATGGAGACTGCTAAGCTGTGATTAAGGAATAGCTACTGGTTTTAAAGAGTTAAGCTTCAGAGAGAGAGAGAAAATGAATGCTGGGGGCGCGAGTCTTTCGTGCAGACTTAGCAGAGGTGAAAGACAACCTCTGATAGATAGGAGGATGAGAGAGCAGGGGAAGACTACTTCTGCGTGTGTGAGTAAGCAGCAGGATCGAAGATGAGAGGAGGTGAGGAGATGACATGCATCCCTCTCTGCCTCCGAGGGCAAAGGACAAGAATGCGGGCAGAGGGATACGGGCCAACACCCACACAGTCAGATTCATGTGTGTGTCAGCAGCTGTGGGGTAGAGCGGTGTGGGGGACCTGCTATGTAGCAGGTGCTGGCCATTTCACGCCTGTCGGCCCCTCTTAGCCTTGTTTGTCTACACACATTCACATTAGCCTCCACAGGTCTGCATTGCAATCCCATCTGTAGTCATTCCGCATCTTTCTCTCGCTCCGTTTGGACCATCGTCCACTCTTTCCATTTCACGAATACAAACGCAATACCTCTCTGAACACTTCTCGCCATCACTCTGCCTTCAAGCCAAACCCCATGGACTTGCTGGTTGCCTCCTCTTAACTGCCCGAGAATTTAGCTCACATCTAATCCCCTTCCTCCTCGTCCTCCTCCGCTGCTGCTGCTAGTGAGTAAGAGAGAAGTCGGAAGAAGGTGGTCGGTCGAGAGAGCGCAGTAGCAGATGGAGGAGGGAGATGTTAGGATGAGGAAAGTGTGGGAAGTTCAACACTGGGAGAGACGAGAGCAACAACAAATAGAGGGGAAGAGAGTGAAGTGCAAAGTGGGAGGAAGAACAGGAGTGAAAACGTAGGATAAAAGACAGAGGAAGAAGGGAGCGGATGGTGGAGCGAGTAGAGAAGCAGCCAGGAGCTGAAGCAGCAAAGGGTGACTGATCCGCTCTGAGAGGCTTGGAGACAGACCGACACGCAAGCCATGCTGAGAGATAGCGGAGGCCGAAAGCACTGGAGATGCAGCGGCACAAGATTCCCAAAGGGGAGTTTTAAATGCCGTCAGCATGTGCTCTCCCTCTCTCCCTCCCTCATGCAAGCCTCTCTCTGTGTGAGGAGAGCTTGCTGGCACTGGGTTGTCCTGGCACACGTTCTGCGGGTTATTACTTTAAAAGCAACAGCCTCCACCTTTGTCCCCCTGCTCCCTCGACTGTTGCATCTTCCTTGCTTGTTAATTCTAAAACACAGCATGAGATGGTGACATCCTTTGTGCTACAGAAGCCAGTTACACCACTGTGCAGCAGTACAGAACGGCCCCCAGAGGAGTGGTGATGCATGCTGTGCCACCATAAGGAGCCAAGGGACTTTGAGAGAAATGGGGAGAGTTGAGAGCGAAAGACGGAAAAAATAAAAAAGGGAAATAAGTGGAGACGGAGTAAGAGGACAAGAAAAAAAAAAAAAAAAAAAGAGTAAAAGAAGAAAATGAGGGCATGAAGTAGCTGGGTTGCTTTTAAACTAGAGCCACTTGAGATACACACCGCCTCTGCCATCACAGGCAGGATTCAGCCCCATGTCAGCAGAAAATAACTTCCGGTTAAGTGCAGGCGAGACTGCAAGAGTGGAGAGATGTATTTTGTATGAAGTGAAAATGCACGAGTTGCACCACAGGCACCATTACGTATGGTAAAACAAGCTACATGGCTAACGAGCACGCGCATTTGCTCTAGTCTCTCCTTTCATTAGTGACGGCAAAGGTTACTGCTGAGAAGCCACTAAGAAGCTTTTGTGACCGCGACTTTAGCGGACTGACAGATTTCATTTTAGAAAAATGAAAAGAAGAAATAACTTTGTGTCTATTTGCAACGCTCACAATGTGAACGGACTAAACTAAAACCGTGTGAATAACTGCTTTGTAAATGCCATACAATGTACAGAACCAATAGACGGACCTTGAGCACAGCTTAGGAAGAGAAACTTTCAGTTGATTGATTCAGTTTTACGGAGCACGTGCATAGACACGGAACTGTAACAGGCATTCTTAATAGGACAAAAAGGAAGACATTTGAAAAGCGAATACGCAAAAGCTTGCAAACACACACATGCACACATGGACAGAGCAGCTGGACACTCTAACCCTACTCTTCCACACCGGCCTCTGCACAGAGAATGTGTGTGGTCATGTCACATGTGTGAACACAGCGTTTCCTCACCAATACGCTTGAGTGTGGCACACCAGGAAATGTGTAGCAGGTGTGATGAAAGGTCACTTGGCTCCATTCGATGGGTTGCGATGATATGAATGCTTTTCTACACAAGCCAGGGGAAGGTTTGGATGATGCGAACCAACCAATGTGGTTTTCATTTCAATTCTGAAATGTTAACTGCTTTACTGAAACATTTCCTCTAATCCAATTCATCTGCGCGGTCGCACATTTGCAGCCTGCGCAAATTACACGAATGGGTGGATTTGTGATGTCAGAAGTGATTTTAATGGTAATTCATCACTTTTACTTGTGTCAAGCACACTCTGTTTTAATGGAAACAGATTTGAGTGTATTTTTAAATGCCATCTGACCTACATCTTGAGAGCTGTTTATGCACATGGCAATACGTGCACACATGTAGTTATATGCTTTCGTGTTCACTTGTTGCAGTGTCTGATGGTTTGAGAGGTGAAACTTACCTCTGACAACAACTGTGACCTGGTCCCTGCCGGTTCCGATGCGGTTGCTGACCTCGCAGACAAAAGTGGTGTTGACAGAGTCGTCCACTTTCAGCACCTTCAGCACGTTGTTGGTGATCTGCGCCAATTCCGGCATCTCTCCTGACATGCTGGTGGGACACGCGCAGGGCGGCAAGAAAAAGACGATAAGGCCAAAACAGAAATAGAAAAGTTAGAGGACTAGGAAGTTTGTTTAACTCTGGGCACAATGAGAGCATCGAGACAGAGAGAAAAAGACTGTATAGGTCATCTAATTGTGCTAATCTCTAAAGGGAATTCACTATCACACAGTGAAGGAAAATACAGGAGGAAAATCTAAACTTCTGGATCCGGGCCCCAACAGCCCCCCACCCCCCCCTATTTTTGAGTAACAGACATTCCATTTGTGTTTGTATTCTTTTTTATGTCTTACATTAATAGATAATTCAAAAATGAACGGGGAAGGAGTGCACCGTATTGTGCTTTTCATTCCACGAGGGTTAAATAACTCCATTATTAGAAATTATACTGCTATCTCCATAATCAGAGCGCAGGGCTGTAGCGGCAATAATACAAAGTGCTGATTATAGCTCCGTGGACCTGGAAATAAAGAATAAGGAAGATTAAGCGGAAAAGAGATAAGATAAAGAAGAAATACTGGGAAAGGCAAAAGGAGCAGGACATAAAGCCGGTGACGGATGTGCGGATACTCACGTCTTCCACTGGGTGGTCATTGGAGGAGGGTTTCCGACAGCGTTGCAGGTGAGTATCCCATTTGTGCGACCCATATACCAATTGTTGTCATAACCCACTATCGTCACCTGGGGGGGGTCTGAGGGAAGGACATGTGAAAGGGAGGGGGGAGGGTGAAAATGGCAACAAACTCAATTAGTCAGCAATTAGAAGTGTGCAAACCAGCTAGTATTACATAGAATAGATAGTGCTGGGGTGTGTGTGTGTGTGTGTGTGTGTGTGTGTGTGTGTGTGTGTGTGTGTGTGTGTGTGTGTGGGGTCTTACACTGAATTGCTAGCTTCAACAGAAAGCTCTCTGGTTTGACCTGCGTCCTGTGCCCCACCACGCAACTGAGGTCTTTCCCGTTGTCTGCCGCTGTGGGAACCATGCGGTACTCGCTGGTCACGGTCACCGTGTTGTCTGCACCCGTATTTTTCTGCGTCGTTGCGTTGCCATTGACAACGGTCACCCAGGAGATCTCGGCAGGGGGGCGGCCATCGACTGACTCACAGCGGGCCACGACGACCGGGGTACTGCCCGCTAGCACCGTCACGATGGAGGCAGAGTTCTGAGGCTTAGCTGATGGATGGACGGACGGACGGACGGGTGAGGGGGTCAGAATGGAAAAGAGAAGATTAAAGGATGGAGAATAAGAATAATGAGGGGAAGTTAATGTGCACCATTATTGAGAAACAATTTGTTGAAATCAAATCCAAACACTTAATGCCGTTTTGTCCCCCAGTGTCTTTGGTTTATTTTACTAGAGGCAACATTGTTAAACACTTACAAGCACCGCTCCAAACATATCCCAACATTAAATCTTCTCCCTACATTTCTTTAATCTATTCCCCTCTCTATCGCAATCACCTACCAGGGTTTATGAACAATTGGACACTACTGGTCTGGTGAATTTCCATAAACAAATTCTAAATCACTACATGATCACTGCCATCCCCCAACCTCCACTCAATTTCCCTCCGTGATACGAGTGTTGAATCAGGGAAGAGCGGGCAGGACAGGAGCTGACAGCGGGCATGACAAGCAGCCGGATCAATACAGTGTCTTTGGGGAGGCACGATGCGTTGGAGAGTGAAGAGAGCGAAGCAGAGGCACTGGAGGCCAAGGTTGGACACACGGTTCCATTGCATTACCAGGACACAATTGATCTGACAATATCACTTATAATAGCAATTAAGCCTCACTGGACATGCTTTTAACCCGCATGCCACCTTTGGGAGAGCGAGGGAGCTAGAGAGTGGTGGGCGGAGACCACTTTGCAAAGCTGCAACAGCTTCAACGCACCTTGAATCAACAGGTGTAACCCTGCTGGAGAGACGGGCACCACGAGACGTAGGCAACTAGGTGCTTGGCAAGAAAAGCTAATTCATTGTCAACGGTAGTTTGACAGTTCTCTAGTTATACATTGTTTTGACTAAACCACATATTCATGGTATGAAAGTTGTACACACACACTACATAGATTATGTAAGGGACCTACCCAGCATGACCAGGTGTGTGATGCCTTGCTCGTTGCCGCTGGGGTAGGAGGCGTACTCGCAGATGTACTTCCCCTCGTCGGTCATCCTCACATCAGTTATCGCGATGGAGGGACTGGACATGCTTGAAGGACTGGGACTGAAGCTGACTCTACCCTTCACGGGCGAATCGGGGTAATTGGGTGCAAAGCTGGGGTGAAACACGGCGATGTTGGTCCTCTCGCCGCCTTTGGGCTCGTAGATCCATGTCACCTGTGGCGAAGGAGCACCGGGTCAGCGGTTAGGGTTCATACAGGAGAACAACAGCAGCAGGCCTCATTTATCACAGCACTGATAAGCGACACTGCAAAGCATTTTAAGACAACATCCACTAAACTCCACGGGGCCATGCGTATACTGCAGCATCCCAATCAAGTGGAGCAGGCATGAATATGGATGGGGCGCTCTCTGGCAAACCAAACAGTTGTGTTTTTCCCACTTCATTGGAACGCAACCAAGTGTTTATGTTACCACATTCAATCCCCTAAGGCAACATTAAAGTTAGTATTGTTTGTTTTAAGTAATAAAAAATTAAGCCTAAATGGGATAAAAACCACGAGGCTTCTGGATCATTTCAGTGGGTTATGATTTTCTAGAGTAAACAAGGCACAGGAATGTTTATTATCCCTGTTTTTCAATAAATTCCTCTTATACCTCTGTGGGAGTACCTTTCTCACACCTGCAGAATCAGGTTCATACATTATTTTACAGCAAAATAGGCACATATTTAGTCAAATATCCGCCTAATGTCCAATGTGTTTGCTTCGATTGTGAAAGCAATTGGGGCCTTTCGCAATTTCAAGCACTTGCACTGTGTCAGAAGAATGAGCTGCAGTTTGGGGATGAAAAATACTTTTTTATTTGAATTTCATAAGACAAGCCCAGGTTAGAGCTGATGAGATTGCAGTTGTAAAAGGAAGTAATCCAACCCTAACAATAACCCAAAAAAATGGTAGAAAAAAGACTGACCATTGTGAGCTGAATCCCAGTGGCATCTGTGAAGGCGCAGCGCAGGTTGACAGTCTGGCCGGGATACGACGACACCTCTGGTTCCACCTTCACCCGCTGACCCGACGCCCCTGAGAGAAGCAGAGAAACGGCAGGAGAAACATTAATGTCCGTCTGCCTGAAACTAGCAGAGGAGACAAGGAAAGGGAGAAGAGGAATCCTGTTGGTACACAGTCTCCTAAAAAATGAGGACAGTGTGGAAATGTCTGGTACAACAGAGGACAGCATTAGTGAACCCGAGCAAGTAGGCCAGGAGTCTGGTATCTGGCATGTGCGTGTGCAAAAAAAAAAGGGATATGTGCTTAAACACAGACGAAAAGAGGAAATCCAGTTCCCTTTGGGACGCAAAAGGCCATAAATCATCTGGATGGTTTATGCTTTTCTGCAGCCTGCCATTTGCTGTGCCGACACATTCCTGTGTTACAGGAAAGAATTAAAATAAATATGCTTTTCTTAGTGCGTTGTGTCCACGGGTATGTGAGAAACAGAAAGAGGGAGCTTTTAAAACGACAATCTGTCCACGTTTTCCTGTGTGTGTGTGTGTGTGTGTGTGTGTGTGTGTGTGTGTGTGTAATCCAGGTCTCCGTGAAAATGTAATTACTTGTATGAGTAAGCGCGCATTAGTGTATGTCAGCAAGATGGCACCTGTTTTAAGTAAGAGTGGATTACCTGCAGATACACAATTTCAAATGTCTGCAGCCAGGGTCGGTGTGTGTGTGTCTGTGAATGCTGGTGTACTGTAAATGTCTCTAGCAGCAAGCTACACACATACAACAGCGCCAAAGAAACCATTTCCCTTAAAGAAAAACAATTACTTGCAAAACTAGTTCCACCAGTTTGTGCTGAGCCAAAGCAGTTGTGAGACAAATATGATGTGAACAGCTGATGGAGCGCATGCGCGCGCACACATTAAACCTTGACGAGCAATAAACACCACACCTTCTCTACTCTGGGGAGATCCGAGTTATCAATATAGCGGAAGAGAAAAGAGTGAAAGGAGCAAAAGACTGAGTGGGTAAGTGAAGGAAAACAGGCCTTTCCTTGAATAACAGAAGCTCTCTCAGGGCCGGCCCAATTTACAACCACAAAACAACCCCCTTCTGGGCCACAGAGGAACCGCTGGACAACCACTAAGCAGCCCGCGGCAGCAGCAGTGAGCTTTATTGGGCTGAAGAGGAACAGTTCGCTCTTTTTTTCCTCTCTTTGACAATTACGTGAGCATATCTGTGCAAGTGGAAGCACAAAAGCATGTACACAAGTCTCATGACAGCTCCTGACATATGATCTTTAAACTGTCACTTAAAGACTAAGCTTCAATCCTCTGTCTATCCACCGGAGCTATTCTGACTAACTACGGATCAGCTTTGGGAGCGGCAGCTGCACGGTCACCACTCGACGCAGCAGAGCAAAGGGAAAAGGGGATGAAGTCTTACCGAAACCCTTGATTACTAGTCTTGCCTCAGTGTATGGACCAAAGTTAGGTCACTACACAATGTAGGACTGGAGGTTTCTTACTCTGCCTCACTTGTTTGCACGTGTGCAAATTCCCACACGCACAGCCGAGCTGGTCCGGTTGTCTGTCATTCGGAGGCCATAAGAAGGGGGCCGACACAGGTCAGCTCCTGCCGTGGCTCAGATGAGAGACCGGCTGGCCGTATGAGAGTGTACACCTCCAGGGAAATGAATATTACACACAAGATATACAAAGACTTCACGACTGCACGTCTTCATCCTCCACAATAGTCCCCAAATCCCAGCCCTGCAGTGTCAAAGACTGTCATTAGAAGAGCAGACACAGAAGAAAGAGTCAACGGGTGCACGTGTGTGCATGTGCACCGACAGAACAAGCTTTTGCGGGTATTTGAAATAGTAATTTCCAGCATAAATATTTAGAGCGCACTGGCCATTAAACATGAGAGCCGGAGAGGAGGAGGGAGACAAGAACTAAGGGAATTAAAGAATAAAAAACGGTTCAAGGGTAAGACCAAGAAAAGCGGGGGAGCTTCAGAGGGGGGAGACGGAGGGAGAGAAAGAGGGTTGGGGGGGATGGGGGGAGGGAGTGGTAACAGAAGCCTTGTGTCACCGCTGCTCTACTTGACAGTAGCTTGGCTGCCTGCAGGTGACACACAAAGACGGCCACCCAACGCACATAAAACAAACAAACGCACACGCAAACTGCCCTCTTCAGCATCCTCAAGTGGTCCGATGTCACCATTCAAAAGGACTGTCACCCCTCATTAGGTCTTCAAGAACCACATGATGTCCATGCACGCACGCACGCACGCACGCACGCACGCACGCACACACACAAGTCTTGACATATTAACACAGTCCTCTCTGATCCCCCTCCCTGGTCATCCTGACATTTCCATATTTCTTACCATTTGTTTGTGAAGAGGAAATTAATAAGGGAAGGAGGTTAGGAGAAGTGTGAAGTATGAAAGGAGGAGACGAGGGACAGCCTGGGAATGCCAAAGTGATGGAGGATGTGGGAGAGTGGAATGGGGAACGTGGGGGGTGCAGGGAAAGTGGGGATGAAAGTGTGTGAAGAGAGCACGGTGCCAGGAATAGAAAATGAAAGAGGAAGTGCAAAGACGAAGGGCTGAGAGAAGAGGATCTCGAAAGAAAAAGAGACAATGTGGGCTATAAACAAGGTTAATAGGAGACAGCTGAGGGACAAAGGAGAGACATTTAGGAGAGCGGGATAAGTCAGAGAGAGAGTGAGAACAAAATGCACCAAGGGGTAAACTAAAAATGGTGGGTTGGTACAGTTGTGAGAAGAGAAGAGACGGGAGGTGTGGAGCAGGGTAGACTCCTCACCTGACCTTGTGAGAAACATGCGGCTGTGAACGGAGGGAGAATGAAGAAAAAAAAATGGACAGAAAAGGCCAAAATGCTATAAAAAAAAAATCCAAACGTTCTCTGCAGCCCATTTGAGCCGGCCGAGGCTTATAAAGCGAACACGCGCTTATCGGCTGCGTCCGCCTGCCGCGCTGCCCGTCTGGCCAACTCCGACGCCTAACGGCATTCATGTCCTCTGCCTGATCCCCGCTGGTGGCGAAAAGCACAACGTTCAAGGGGAGAGGGAGGGCAGGCCATCACCTAAAATATCGAATGGCCTTCAGAGCTCACTGACTCTGCGCCATTTCATCAAGTTAGTGGCTTTGCAGCGTCAGGTGGGCTGGAATGAAGCTCTCCTCTCTCTCCCTATTCTCTGTGCACGCGCGCACATCTGAAAGAGCACAGGAGAAACGGATGTGGGTTGGTTTTCTCACACCACGCTCTCAATAAGCATTTTGGGCTTCCGTTTTTTCTCCGAGGCCTGCGTGAATTTCTCCATTAACATTATCATCATGGTATTGTTGTGCTCCGTTGTCAATGGCTTCGATGCAGTGCCGTGTTGTCCTGATGAAATCGCATACTGCTCTCTCCCTCTCTCATGTTTTTTTTTGTAATGGAATAAGAGCTCGATGGCGTGCTGCGTTTCCAACCTGAGGGGGCCTCTTGTGATGTTGGGATGATTCTGCGAGCTACACTTTGGTCTGACTTCACGCTTTACAAAAGACATTTTTAAATCAGGTGTACACACTTTTCTCATTTTTCTCACACTTTCTCTTTGGGTGTACAGGGAGAAATTATCTTTTTATGCAGGTCACTCGACAAAAGGTAACCATGAATAAAAGGAATGTGCGTACGGAGGGCCCATGTTTGTAATGATACATTTATGGCGCGTTTCCGTGCCACTGCATATTCACCGTTACGTTTGACGTAGGGAGACTGCGGGTTAAAGGCCTTAACTTCCACTCCGCCCTCTGAGAGTTGAGAAAACAGTAAAAGCACGATCCATCCGAACGGTTTCCTTCTCCATTGTTCAATGCTGCAGGTTCTATTCGCAGTGAAAAAGTGTCGCGTGTGTTTATGTGCCGGTGGTGGTTTCTAAATGAAACCGCTGCAAAAAAAAAAGTTTGTGGCCGCCGGTGTGCAATTTAGTTCTTGGGGGATTTCTGGACACTGGCACAGAGAAACCGTTTCAATTCCACCATAATTACTGGGGTTGTAGCTTTGCACGGTGCAACTAGGAGGAAGTGGTGGCACATTTTCGGTTGTCTCTGGTCGTCACTCCACTCCGAATAAAACGGAGATGAACGTACTAACTTTGCCCATTAAGGACGTTGACTTCCAATCCGTTCAGTTCCTGAGTAGAATATTCAACAGCGCAGCAGGACAGTGACAGGATAACACTTCCCGTTTTCACAAAGCAATGTAGCCTTTACGTAGAGAAAGAGCTTCCTCTATAAATCTTCAATAACACAGGTCCCTTGTTACTCTGGATAGTGTAATACTTCAGTCATGCCCGACTAAGTTTTGAACAGTTACCTCCTTTGTGCAGCATTAAAAATTGGATCAAGCAGAGACGGTTAAAAGATGTGACTCATTTTAAATCGGGTGCCGGTGTAACTGCTGTGTAACTGGGTTTCCCGTGTGTGTCCTCCACACAGACACGGCCGTGGCTGTGTGACATGTTTAAACCGCCTCTGGTATCCACCATTGGCCGCCATCAGCTGAAGTCTGGAACCGCACCGACCGGAACCTGCGGTCGGCTGCTGCTGCTGCAACCAGAGACCGCCGTAGCCGTGGCTCCTCTGACCTTCACACGCGCCCGAATGTGCACGCACATGCAACCACACAGACCTGCGTTTATGTGCGCGCACATACAGACACACGAGTAGATGTGGAAACTTTAGTATGCAAGGAGCAGAGTGGGAATGCAGCTTAGCTTCGACAGGCGAGGCAGTTTGACAAGCCAGGAATAAAACAAGGAAATGAAGACTTGTGATGTGCCTCGGCTTCTTATTGACCTTTCTATCGGGGACCTCTATGAGGGGCCAATTGATACCGCATGAGAAGTCTACATTTAGAAGTAAGCAGTGCTTATGACATCCAATTAGAATTCATCCACGCGGTACGATTTACCAGTGGGAGCAATCAAGCCGAAGCCCCTCTGTTTGATAAAAGGAGCACACTTAAAAAAAACCAAGGCCATTGTGGGAGATCTGCGCCACAGATGTTC